ACATCGCTTCTTTAGTTTCAATTTTATCTGGGCAACCACCGAGTGATGATCTGAAGTAATATCACCTGTTCTCTTGGTTCTCATGTCTTCCATTGACATTCTGCAATTTTTAGTGATGCAAATATGATAGACCTGATTCTGTGTAGTGTGATTCCGTGAGACCCATGTAGCTTTGTGTATTCGTTTGTGTGGGAATATTCTACCACCTATTACGGTTTTGTTGAATGCACATGAACTTGTGAATCCATCACCATTCTCGTTTCTTTCTCCCAGTTACCGTCGTCTCATGATATCTTCATATCGAACTTTGGTGTTTACGTCTCCCATCAGGATAGTGAGATCATTTCCTGGTCACTTCTCTACGGTCGAGCGCAGCCATCCACAAAACTGATCTTTATTGTCGTCGTTGCTATAATTGATGGGTGCATAACACTGGATAACATTCATTGTGATCCCCTCCTTCATCATTTAGTAAGATGCTCTGATGATTCTGGATCTGTGAGTTTCCCATCCTATAAGTGAATCACGTGCTTCTTTATACAGCATCAGAGCAAATCGCTGAGTGTGTGGAAAATTTCCTTTCTCGTGACCAGAGTACAGCAGCATCTCTCCTGAATCTAATCTTTGCTTTCCATCTTCGGTTCGATGGGTTTCACTTTTTCGAACACCATTAAGTTGTACCTGCTCATCTCCATAGTCATTTGACTGATCCTCCCGAACTCGCACATTGTCCTAAAATCCTATGTACCTTCATTAATTATTGCTCTGGTTATTAGAAGAGACATCCGCCAAGTGATTTCCGAACAATCTCGTCTTTTAACATGTGACGTCATAATTCTTCTGAATGAATATCGTTCTACTTACAGTACAGAGTTTAAATGGCTTTCATTATTTATTATGGTTTGCGTTTTTTTTATTTATAGTAAATTTCTATTCTACATGATATGGTTGCTAACTTCATGTCCAACTCTCCTTCTTTCCCTGTACTTGAAACCTTTATCAACCCTAGAAGAGTTACCAGCGGAGTTGTTATCATTATTATTAATCAGCTATAAACAATTTGACAAATACTCCAATGATCATTCCCTTTTAATGAAATAAATTAGACCAAAAAAGTTTTAGATCAATACTTTTATCAACTCTCTGTATCTAAAACTAGTCACGTTAATCAACTATACAGTACAGGCTTCAAAAAGAAAAAAAAAACAACTTTAATCGATTGATTAAAACTTGAATATTTTAACCAATATTATCGTTACTTCCATGATTAGATCCTCAGATAAAATTAATGTGATGTAATAAAAACAAACAAAATCCAAATCGAATACAACTGATTTGTATAGACTAATTCTTAGTTTATTATAAGCTAGATCTTTCATGATTCTCTTGAATAAAAAGAACTTGTCTATCTATTTATTAGTTAACAAATCGATTACTTATTTCTTTTTGTATAAATATATGTATATATGTATGTATGTATGTATAAACTACGTTATGTTAGACAGACATTTTAGATGATCAGTATAAAATCAATCAACCAATCAATCAATCGGTCGATCGATCGGTTGATCGATAGATCAATTCGAATATCATTTAAACTTATTTCTAGAAAGTATTACTATAGATTACACACATATTTCTTTATTAGATATATAAACGATTGATAAACATACTACTAATTAATGGTGGTTAGTAGTATTTAAGAAAAAAAAAGTAGATTATTTGATTATACAAGTAAGTTATTCTTATGATATGGTTTTATAATAAAAGATTTGTTAAATTTTGAGGGGTATTTTTAACATTACAAAGGTATTGATAATATAACATGATAAACAAATCAAATTGTTAGTTAGATGGATAGAGATAATCAAGAAGAAACTTACCTTAATCAAAGTTTCATGATAGCTACGAGTTGGAAGTATAGTGTAGTTACAATTTTAGTCGAACTTATATCTTAGTTCAGCTTGATAATTTAAGATGTTACCGGTGAGCTATTCATGTAATAAGATTATAGGTAGGTCTTATTGATAAGTGATGAAAACAAGATACTTTAGTTAAGAAGGGTTTCCTGTTGTCGACTTGCAATATGATGTCGAGTCATTCAAATCAGTGGTTAATGAGATTTAATCAACGCTAAAGGACCCGACAAATGTGATATAGTTTAACCATTAATTGAAAATATTACTGGATGTAGAATCCATTGTTAGCCATTATCCAAACTTCGAATTATAATCAATGTTATACTAATAACAATAGTATTATACTATCAGTCTAGGTTTTATATCGACTAACCGATAGATGAATCATTTGGTGTGTTCCTGGTTATAGACTTGTCTCTGTGACATATTATCTATGCATGGATTAGTAGTAATATTCAGTTATCCAAAATGAAATAAGACTAATCTATAAATCATTCATTCAAATAAATAACATCATCAGTTTAGGGGTTGTGGTGATTGTTAATTTTTTTTTGATTGAGATCATGAGCTGATTGATGTTAGACCACCATTGAAAACCTGAAATCACTACATAGCCGTTTCGTCCTATTGTGGCCCTGGGTTCGAACCCAGCGAGCGGAATTGTGAATGCGCACTGCTGAGGAGTCCCACAATAGGACGAAACGGCCATCCAGTGATTCCAGGTTTTCTACGGTGGTCTAACATCAATCGGTTCATGATCTTAATCTAAATAACATCAATTTGATTAAACTGATTAAGGAAGAAGTCAGTTAAAATCATCTTGAAATGATTAATTTTAAAACTAAATATGAATGTAGTAGAGGGATTAAGAGTATTGTATATGGTCAAAAAATTGAAAAGATCTTTCATTACTAGTTGAAATCAATCAGTATTTGATTTATTTTATATTCGCTGAAATTGTAAAGGCTAATATCCTCTATATTTGACTCTAATTGCTAGTATCCCATTAACAGAGTATTTAATGCAGACTAAATCTCCTATTAGAATTATGAATTTACACGAGATTTATTCGAAAGCCTGAATATCAGCTCTAGAGTTAGTCTCTTGTTAAAGATTGGTGAATTCCGTAAGAGTACAGGAAGCAAGAACATCCAGGGAAACCACGGGTGTGTGTGTATGACCCGAGCTACCAACTATGGGGAAATTTTGGGGTATTTTGGGTAAACTCTCGAAGTAAAATGACCTTGACCAAGTGTGAAGGGGCATTTTTGGGAAATATTGAGGAATGTCCCTTGGTCTGGGGAAATTTTAGGGAAATGGCACATAAAACCCTAAAATTTCCCCAAAGTTTACCATAGAGGCTTGCCCAAAATGTGCCAAATTTTACCCGAAATTGGGAGCTTCTGGAGTGTTAAAAATGCATATATATATCCATGAGTGTTAATCAAGTATGGATAGATTATTGATTGTCTGTGTATTACAACTGTTATAACGTGTGATCCGCCTATTAGAGAGCAGCGTATTACCGATCGATACAGTGACGCATCAAATACGAGCGAGCAGCAAAGAGTCCTCATTGGCCCTGCTTCCCTGTCTAGCCCAGCCAGTTGAGACCAGAACACAAGTCTCAGCCTCGGTGATATGAATCATTATATTTCAAACATACTCTGTTTATATACCAAACAAACAGACTACATCGTACCATAAAATAGAAAGTAACATTTGTACAAGATTTAACCTTCAGGAAATGATACAAATAAATATTGACCAATAGGGAAATGACTCGTTGGAAGAATGTTGACCAATGGGGTAATGACATTATTTCTCATTCAGGAATAGCATTAGATAATTTCCGGGGTATTTTCTGAATACCCCAACAACAACCAATTAAAGAATAAATTAAAGATTGATGTACAGAACGCGCTCAGCTCAATTAAACTCACATATAAATTTACACAATGGAATGAGTGTCTAAATTACAATGAGCAGATATAAATAATACATTAGTTGATGAATGGGCTTACTACAAATGTAAGTTTGAAGTACATTATTGATGAAATAGACAAAGTTTGACAATTGCAGATAGAATCTTTAGAGAAAATAGTATATTCTTGTTAAGGATCAATTGTTTAGGTTGTAATTAAAACTGATAATCAACTTTGACAAATGTAGAAACTGTTCCAAACACTATCTTTTTAATATGTTAACATTAAACTTTTGTTAATATGATGTTATGATGATCGTTGAATTTTATCGAAATCATGAATTAATCATTGTTAGACCAGTATCGGAAACTATGGAACACTAGACATACATTTCGTTCTGCTATTGATTGAAGTTAAACATTAACATCATTGAATACTAGTTTAATGGTGTAAAGGTTAAGTGTACATGTGCAAGACCTTAGATATTGTGTTCTATTCCCGCTTGCGGTAAAGTAGATGTATACTAATGAGGAGTTCCATATAAGAATGATACAGCTGTCCTGTGCTTTCAGGTTGTATCACGTAGATCAGTTCATGATTTCAATGAAATATAGTGTTGTGTTATATTGTCTGTGCATACTAGTTAATATTTATTTAAACAAGGAGGCACCAAATAGGTATGCGCCACATAAATCATTCGATTTATATGAGGGCTGGGATACTACCCGGGTGCCCAAACCGAAGCAGATGGTTTTCTAAAGGGGTCATGCATGGAGCCTTCGATCTAAAAGCTTGATCCATAAGGTAGTGGAGCAAAATTTGGAGATGCAGTCCCATGTTAGCTAACGACCAACAATTGGTTCATATGCCATATGTTTCCTTAGAATCCTAGAGCCCGTGTTCAGGATTTTCCAACTCCTCTAGATGAACTCTCCGTATCCACCAACCCGGTTAAATCGCCGGAAATTCCCTTTTCATTCTCTCAATTTCATAAACAACACCCCCTCTACAAGAAGGCTATGAGTAGGAGGTCATTTTATCTTACATCTTTACATATAACCAAACTTTTTATTTTTATTGTTTATATAAATGAATCTTCAATATTTACACTTTTCTATTCATCTAATATCATTTTAGAAATTAAAAAACAAACATTATGGCTTATGATCAAGATAATACTAAGGCATGTTTAAAATGTGGATCCAAATGTCCTGGTTTCACAAAACATTCATGGAGGTAATTGAATGTTTAAAATAATACCTCTATTCTTTCTTATAGAATGTTATGTACCCAATGTCATTGTGCATATTATGAACATGATATTGATGATTTTACTAATCAATCAATATTAGATCAATTAGATTTAAATCAATCATCATTCTATGATGAGTATATAAATGCACAAAATTTAGCTAAACAATTAGAATTACATTGGTTACCTATTGGTGTTAAAATAGTAGAAGTAAGATTATTATTATTATTATTATTATTATTATTATTATTATTATTATTATTATGTTACATATGTTGCAAATGACTTTTAATATTCATACTACCTTAATGTCATAAGAAAGATAGAAATGGTCAAACCAAAACGTGACTTCAGTCAATGAAGTCATTGACTACTGAAATCACTCATATTGATAAACTAAGACTATTGTGAGATTGTTACTCATTGATAACAATGGTGAATGTGTCGCGTAATTTCGTGGATTGGTTGACGTTAGACATTAACACGGTTAAATTTCGGCCGGCTCAGTGTCCTAGTGGTTAAGCGCTTACGCGTGAGACTGATAGCTCCTGGATTCGAATCCCACGAGGCGGAATCGTGGATGTGCACTGCTGAGGAGTCCCACAATGAGACGAAATGGCCTTCCAGTGTTTCCAGGTTTTCCATGGTGGTTTAGATTCAACTGATCATGATCTCAACCGTTAAAAAGACTAAGATTAATTGATTCTGTAGGTATGCATTACTATAATAATCTCAGGTTGAGACGAATCAGATTGACAGTCTTCTACTTTTAAATGATACCGTAATTTGTAATGAAAATTACTTATGAGCTACATTGATCAACTCTGTAATATTTTACCCCAAAATGACCTGGTACTGTCGAGAGTGGGGAGAGTTAACCCTCCCTTTCGAAATGCTCACATATGGCCACGTGCATACAAACACTACCACACAAGTCCTACTCATTGCCTTCTCGCAGCATTACTCTTGTTTACGAAATTGAGAGGACGAAAAGCGAATGCCCGGTGTTCTAACAGGGTAGGTGGACATGGAAAATTCACCTAGGGGAGTTGGAAAACCCTCATTACAAACCAATGGTGTTAATCACCGGCTACCATAGGACTGTATCTCACTCTACTGCCATGTGGACTAGACTTTTAGGTCAAAGGTTCGGGATGTAACCCCCTAGTAAAACCACCTGCCTCGGTTCGGGCACGCGGGCAGTATCCCAGCCCTCACATAAATCGAATGATTTATGTGGCGCATATCTGTTTGATGCCTTCTTGTACCAATATTTATGTGTTTAAATAAATAATACTGTATCTAATATGGGCTGGTTGAAAAAGGTCAATAAGATAGATTACTGAAATATATTATTATCATAGTATCTTTTGTTTGCAGTGTGTAGGTCTTGACACAAATTGCAGGATCACTTAAAGAAAGCCGTAGCTTTTGGGTTTAGTTAAGTTTATTGAGTAACCATTGAAAATCCCTCCAAGTTGATTAAAGTCTAATATTTGAGTTAGTGGGTTTTACATTCAGTGGTCTGTAGGTATAGAACTTTATTATAAATACTAAGGGTGTTTGGTTTCATTCCATGACGAGGTTACGGTAATCCAATGACATATATTCGCAGGCTTGAACAACACAGCTAATACTTAATACCACCAAATTTTATTAGCTTCCCAGGTGATATCGATTAGTGAAAAAAATACTATAATAATAATATTAAGAACAATAATAGCGGCAATAATAATAATAATACGTTTATCTCTTTTTCGATCTAAGGTGGACTCGTTTTTGAATAGTCTTCCAAATGATGAATTACCACGTGGTGAAGTTGCTAATCATGTTAGGCGTCAACGTCTTAGAAAACAAATACCATTACAAGATCGTAAACCAGCTGTAACAATTGAGGAATTATGTCGTCATTCAAAAGATTCAAATCCTAACTTGGAAAATGAATTACACCAAGCGAACCGTTTTAAAAATTTTCGTAATATCCACGATTTTGGTATTGGATTGGTGGAACATATGAATGACAAGGATGGACAGGTAATTAAAACAAAATTTGGTTAACTGATTGATGAAACCACAATTAATTGTAGCATAAAATAACATAAGTCTTGAATAAGTAATGAGTTAAAGAGTTCAGGAGAATCTCCGATCCTATATTATCTTTATCCTTCTTTACATGAAACACATGGCTTGACTATTATCATAATAATACTGATAGAAATTAATGAATGACAATTTATTTCGTCGAAACGGTAGTGTTGTAATCCTTGACGTCCAACATAAATAAACACACACACACACCCCCAACCAGTTATGTGATCGGAAAGACTAATATATGAATAAGAAACTGCAATTAGTGTAACTGAACCACTAGGCGAACAAATCGTCAATATATATACATTCTACTCTTCTGACCCAGACAAAGACATGTAGGTTGAGATCTTGATTAGTTACTTCATCAATTTTCTCCGGTAGTGTATCTCGACTATAATTTCTTACCTAACACTTAACCATGAGATAAAGTGTGAACATAAGCACGTGATATATCTAGTATATCAATAACTAATGTTATATTTCCCTCATCCTAGTTACCGATTGACAACATGACACTGGGCATTAATGTCATTATGATCACTTAACGTGCGATTATCTGTAGTCTACACAAGATCAGTTGTGGTTCAAATAGCTTAGTGATAATATATCCAGCCAGTTAGCTCTCTCACGATTACAAAGATATTCAAATAGGCTTAACTTAATAAGACAGTTTACTGATTTTGAATTTTCCATAGTTAGATCATTGACTGATGTAATAATAAAGAAAACTAGACAAGAGTTACAAATTACCTTTAACCTAATATGGTCAAATACCATAGAAATATTTCATGATTGAACTTCAAAACAAAACGCCTACAATATAATTCATTTTATAAAATTCATAAATATCAATAAATTATATATAGTGTACTAAAGTCCAGTCTTATGATTACATATGTTAATGGATTGGTTGAACTTAAACATTGACACCGTTGGATCCCGGATCAGTGGTCTAGAATTTAAGCGTCAGCGCTCGAGACCGATAAGTCCTGGTTTCGAATCTCGCGGGCGGGATCATGCATACACACTGCTGAGGAGTCTAAGTGCCACTAGGATTTCCATGGTGGTCTGGGTTTAATTGACTCATGCATTCAATTGTTAAATCACATATGTTAAATTTAAAAAATTTGTATAAATAATGGCACTTCATGCCTATTTCAATTTTGGAGCATAATAATGAATTCCCAATAAGATAATAAGTAAATCTGTACCATAAATATGAGAATCATAAGTATGTCAATCGTATTCCATCCTAAATACACCATATTTTTGACAGCATAACTAAGTAGTTTCCGTCTTAATTGTTAAAAGTAATCCTGGAACACAGATTCTTTAGCTGTCTCAGCCTTAAATGTGCCATTAGAATATTGTCTAAAGAGAATTTCTCCAAATTTAGCTGATCATATTATATATGAGCAGTGAATTACAAGGAGCTGCATACTTTTGTTCCTTATATCATCCCTTCAGTCTTCACGGCTGTCATTTACATTCTTTAGTCATTTCAAAAGAGCTATTTTAAATCAATATTTTATCCATATGAGCCATTTTAAAACTTTCAGAAACTTCTAGAAATGATTAATTAAGTTACAGTTCGCATATTTATTGGACAAGCTGTGTAGATTGAAAGTAAACAAATGAATCGGATAGCCTTGGTCTTTATTACTAACTTCAGTCAATTTTCGATATAGCATAACAGTCATTGATTTCCTTTGAGAAATAACCAAATTCATATTTTAATGATCGTCATGGCCCGTGGATTTATTTAGCTAAACTGATGAGTTAATGTTTTTTAACAGTATTTGGGCGCTGAGTTGATATGAAATATTAAAGAGGAAGAATGTATTTGTTACATCTTAGAGAATGAATTTGAAGTAAATCTAGCGTTTCACCTGGAAATCTGGTGAGTTAATATATAAGAACTTTCGCCTAAATTTGAACGAATAGTTTCATCAAAAACGATGTACTTATGTGACCTGCTTGAAATATGATTGATCAAATCATTGACATAGCAACACCAGGATGTGGTTACGAATGCGAAAATGTCGATTCACAGTTGTGACAAAGTAGAAAAATATGAGAGAACTATAATGATGATAAAATTCAAGAACTAACAAACTGTCCTGCATTAATAGCTCAGTTTCGATTTTATGATCAGCTAGAGATTTTGGAGTGTAAAGTGGGTATCTTTAACTGGATTTTGTAAACAATGTTAAAGGATGAATCTGAGGCTTAACGTCATGAATCTATTATATGTTTCAGAATAGAAGTTTTTATAAGATTGTACAGCTTTGAACATAGATACTTTGATAAATTGTTTTGTGTGTCGGGTAGAGACAGGTATCTACTTCAGTACAATGAAAGATAGTTACACAATTTCGTGGATTGGTTGAGATTAGACATTAACACCGTTGGATATCAGCCGGCTTAGTAGTCTAGAGGTTGAGCACACGCGCGCGAGACTTATAGGTCCTGGGTTTGTATCCCGTAAGTGTGCTCGTGAATACACACTACTGAGGAGGATTCCCACAATAGGACGAAATGACCGTCCAGTGCTTCCAGATTTTCAATGATGGTCTAACATCAAACGGTTCATGATCTCAATAAAATAAAATTGCTTTTTTGTCTAATGTGCATATATAAATTCATTGGGTATTTCATTCAACATTTCCTCGAATGATTGTCATATTATTTAAAATGTTTTAAAAATTTACTTTCAGCCATGTGCAAATTGTTCGCACATAATTAATTTTAATGATTTCTGTATAAGAATTAAACCAGAACATTCTTTAACTGAAGAAATTTCTAACATACCATCGAATCATACTCCAGCTTGGCATTTAAATTGTTTTCGATGCATAATATGTAATGAATATTTAGTCGATTATATATATGCTTGGTTAAATAACCAATTATATTGTTTACGACATTATGGTCAATCAGTACGTCCACGTTGTGTGACATGTGATCATGTAAGTAATTTTCTTAAGTAAAAACTGTTTACAATTATATAATTAAGGTTAACTAATCTATTTTTTTGCAGAAATATTCTATTCTATAAATTCTTAAATGTTGTAATAATTTAAAGGTGTTTTAGTAAAATATGTTTCAAGAAAATTCCTGAGTATCGTTAGAGGTATGAGAGAGGTTATCATTTCCGGTGGCCCACACCGCGGAAAGGTTCTTCTGGAGGTACCTGAAAACGAAATTGAATTAGAGGTGGTCATAGTGACTTGAGAGCGTGACTGTAGTGCTCAAGGGAAAATTGCTTGAGGTCAGTCACACACGATCATCTCGTGAGTAATTTTTGTGTTAACTTCGTACTTGTTGAAACCTTACCACAGGAGACGGATATCCGTGGGATAAGGCGGTGTGTATTTTTACGACCGACCTTTTCTAACCTCACATCTCATTTTAGAAAGACAGTGTTTCTGTTATGCTAATTGTCTGGAGGAAACACCCTACTGCCGTCACACTTATATACAGCTAGCAGTATGACTTCGCCTCCGCACCTTGAATTTGTTGCTTTTAGTCTTACCGTTCTTGAACCAACCTGTCTGGTATGTCGGGACCTTGAGGAACGACTTCCCGCCAGCATAGCTCGACTGCTTCATCACGATAGGCAAACCGGACCACCACTTTAAGGTAACAACAACGTCCGGGGCAAAAAAATAAATCGTGGAATAACTGAGATAATCGGATAGACAATATATATATATATATATATATATATATATATATATATATATATATATATATATATATACTGGAGTTGCCGCCGAATCTCAATTAAATAGGTCATAGGGCGAGACCAACTGATTTGATACTTATGAAGTAGCATATTTATAATTGTGTACCATAAGCTGATAAATAAAGGATTTAGATTAGAAATAATAGGTTAGAAGCTTTGATCACCCCGTACTTTAAGACACCCGAGTTCTATCATTAGGACCAACACATGTAAAACATTGGCACTGGAATATTTGTTAAGTGTAAGGATTTCATATTATTGTGCCACATTCTGACTCATTACAAACTAATCATCAGATCTAGGTATCAGTAATAAGAATAATATGTTGTCCCTCCTTTAAGTGTAGTACATGAACCGTGCCACTTGAAATTCCAGAAGTAATCATTGTTAACCCCATGTTATTATCTTGAAACAAACTGACAGGTTTATTACTCGGCTGAAGATTTCCAAAGGCATAGACTAAGTCTTGGGAAATTGAAACTTAATGGATAAGTAAACCATATTGCTCTTAACATGCAATTGCAGAAAGATTAGATAAACGTTCTTCCATATAAAAAAGCCACACAACAAAATATTTAGGGTAAATCGCATATTCTGACTGATACTAAAACATGATTTTAAAATAATACCTTGGAAGACCACTTTAACACAAAAAGCCAACAGACCCAACTCTACAATCTCTATCCTCTTTAACCAACCTTTCTTATATTTATTCATAATATTCACCAATCACATCTCGATATTTAAAAAGAAGCTGTTTTATTTTATATATATAAACTAAATCAACCAATGGTTTATAGCCAGCTACTTTTCATAAAATTTTCAACCAATCATGAATTGAATTCTTGGACTCGATTAGGTATGACTAATCCAATTTATTAATTGGTTGATCAGACAATTTAATATGGTGGTCTACTAAAGAGGGAGGGAGGGAGAGATGGACCGAAAAAAACATGATCTGACCGAGTCATCAACAACTGAAATCTTATTGGTTATTGATTAAACTTTATTGCACATCTTTTTATGTGTTATATTGGATATATATGTGTGCCTAGCCTGTCTATAGGTCAATTTATGTTCGTTGTAAATATAAATTGCTTCAATAATACAGTGTAGACAAGGTCATATGCTACATCTCTTATTGGTTCATTTATTCCATATGACTCCTACTTACTGTGTGTGTGTATGTATGTGATTATATATGTGTGTGTATGTCACTGATTTTTGTTTAATCTAACAGTTAAATACAAATTAGCTGAGTGTCTTATTAATTGTTTTTTTCATCGTGATAGCTTATTTTCTCAGAAGAATATACTAGAGTTATGGATCAAGAACATCATTCTGGTCATTTTGCTTGTCATAGTTGTGATGCATCATTAACCGGACAACGTTATATATTACGTGAGGATGAACCACATTGTTTAGCTTGTTATGAAGCTAAATTTGCAAATACATGTGAACAATGTAAAGAAAAAATTGGTTGTGATTCAAAGGTTAGTTTTAAAAGAAAAGTTTTCAATGAAATTTGATGAAATAATTTTAATCTCTTCAATGTATAGTTTGATTTAGCTTTTTCTGATAGAACTATAACTTATAACCGACCTTTGAATGACTCTAAACTGACCCTGAGAGTGTTCACCTAATAACTAGGACTAAATAAGGGTTATAAACCAGTGTGAACAATTAGAATTATGATTTACATTTGATCGTTAAGGTTAGGAATTAGATTTAGGGGTTTTTCATCACGAATTAATATCAGTTATAATACCAAAATTCTATTTTGCCAAATGAATGAGTGAATTTCGCGCCAAAATGATTCGTTCATAAATTATAGTCTCAACAGCTTTTTTAAGCCATACAGTGATTACTTGTTAGTTGTGTAGGAAACTGTATTGGTATTTATAGGTTATAATTTAATTTTGAAATGTCACTCATTCTCTATTGATTGAATTGTTTGACTCATTTTTCAATGTCATTAATTAAGCTCAGGAATTTGAACAGGTTGTAATTACAACAATACGCGTATGAGTTTATTGATTTGATCATGATTCAGATTTGTATTGTAAGGAGAGAAGGTCTACGGCCTATGTTATTCCTTTTCTAGTATACTTCAGTGAGTGTCCGGACTTCTCTTGAAAGAGTCAATTGAATGTGCGGACACCGCTGCTTCGGTCAGCAGGTTCCAAGTATTGATGACTCGGTGTGAGAACCTGTATGCCACGGGTATTTTGTTCATTCTTGGCTTTTCTACTCGCCTGCTATGTCCTCTGAGATGTCCCGATCTAGTGGGGAGAAAAAGAGAGTAAGTTAGGTCCAAAATCATTTCTCAATATTCTGTACATCAAAACTAGATCTCCCCTTAATCTGCGATAGGACAGTGTGAAGAGATCTAGCTTTTCAAGCCTCTCTTTGTATGGTAAACTTCGGAGTTCTGGAATTGCACGGGTAGCTGCCCTATGTACTTTTTCTAGGATATCCGAGTCACCTTTTAAACATGGGCTTGCAGCCTGAACGCAGTTCTCAAGCTTAGTTCTCACTAAGGACCTGTATACTTTGGTGAACATGGTAGTATCTAGCTTAGTGAATGTCCGTTTTAATACCCAGAGGGTTCAAAACCCCTTAGCTGCGACTTCCCGGCAATGGGTACAAAGTGAGAGTTTCATCTGTTGAAATAGGACCGAATATAGTCGTAGCTACTTTGTATTTTTTTTGGGAATACATATATGTTTGATTATAAGGTAGAATATTTCATTCACTTCTCCAATGTCACATTTTAATATGTAGTTTTAATGGAATAAATTACTTTAACTGGAAATAGTTTATCTAGTGTGTTATTTTCTTAATGCACTGTCAAGATTAGTATCATTATGTTGACATAATAAATCAACTGTTCATTAGTACATATGTCTGTTTCTTGTTAGTAAAACTTCATGGAATTCCTACTGCTAGACAAATATAGGGTTTTAGGTGAGCATTTTCAGTTGTCACCTTAGATATATTATTTTCATTATTTTTTCTCGGACCACAATCTTTTTGAGGATAACAAAATTCTGAATCACAGGCAATGCATATTGAATTAGCCGTTACAAGATTAGTTTTGTATTACTTCCGTAATGTAATGTAATGTTACTTCGTAAATAAATATTCCTAATCTGTTGAAATGGAAGTTTGCTTTAAAGGTTATCTTTAATGTTGACCAGGATTTTATACATTGATGAAACAATTGTTCAACTCGCTACTACTCATCTGTTATCAGAGGAATATAATATATACATATTGTACTGTAAGTAAAATTACTTTTTCATCTTTGATGGATTGTTCGGAAAGTTAAATTAGAACTCGTAGTTGTTCGTTAAAACAACTCAATCGGCTTTCATCTTAATTATTGAGGTCTTTTCCTAGCTCTCATACGAATTAAATCCTTTCGTTTTAGTAGCTTCGGTGACTTCGTCATATTTCCTGGCGTACAAAGCTACATTTCTCGTTTTTTTTTTCTATTAAGAAAAAAATATAACACTAGAAAGCTTTAGTTTAACTACAGCCTTGATAGCTTCATCAATTAGCTCGTTGGGAAATCCAAGCGTTCATTTAGAGACTGGAATAAAATTGAGCCTTGATATGAAGTGCTGGATCAGTAGCTAAGGCGTTAGGCTTTTATCCATAAGTTGCAGATTTGAATCCCACTCGGTTTGTGCAATTTAGTTTCACTTGTTTTTATATTCAGGATGTTGCTCGACTCCAAATATATGAACTTATGCTTGGCAACTGAGCTAATTTGTCATGCAATTTGCTAGTCTTCAAGATGTTTTTCCTCCTAAAATTAATCTGTTGTTTATTTGTTTGAATTAACGTCTCCCTAGTCTGTTTATAAATTTCACTGTACTATACCTTAAGGTTTTTGAAATCTATGCACTCAAGTAAAACTAGCGATGTTTATCTGTTTGTTTCTTTAAAAGTTCTTGGTAGCAATGGCTTTCCGTATGGGGTTATGGTTTTTATCGCAATAAAATCATTCTATAGTTTGACTTACGTAGAAAATAAAGGTTCAGGATGTTAAAACTGTTGTATTGATTTTAATACATGTTTTGATCGGTATGGTGTACACAGCCCAAGACCCAGTATGTTATTGTGCACTGTACGAACAATTAGATGGAAATAATTCAGTAATGTTTAACTGGAAGTGCAGAATAAGTAAAACAGTGTTAGCTTCTATTATCTTATAAAAAAGTGACCATACTGACAACGCTACTAGTTGTATACTGTTTATAAATAATCTTAAAAAATGGATGATAAGACTGTCCATTAAGTGAAATCGCTTATTTGAGGTAATTAATAGAAGAGAATAAACATAAGAGTAATTCATACTTTAAGCACATGGGGATTTACTTCAGGTTAATAATTCGGTTAAACAATAGTATAGGAACAAGCATGAAACAACCGTGACGAATTCACAGTTAGTTTCTAGCCTGTCAGAAGACAGCTGTTTATAGAAAACAAAACGATAATATCTCACAATGTAAAACAATCCTACATAATTATTAAAAACATTAATGTCTTCTACAGGATACTCTATCTGTAAAGAGTCTGCATTCCCTCTCGAAATGCTCTCACATGGCCACGCATATACAGCCTCTGCCAGGGAGGTCCTACTCACTGTTGTTTACGAAAATGAGAGGACGAAAAGCAAATGTCCGGCACTTTAACCGGATCCCAAACCAATGGTGCACATGGGCTAGCTCCAGTATCCTGAAGGAACAAATGGCGTATGAACCAACCGTTGGTCACCGGCTACAATGGGAGTGCACCTCTTTACGATGCTCCACTGCCTAATGGTTCAGGTCGAAGGCTCCGGATGTGCCCCCCCAAGAAAATCACCTACTTCGTTTTGGGCACCCGGACAGTATCACAGCTCTCACACAAATCAAATGAGATTTGTGTGGCGCATATGTATTCGGTGCCTCCTTGTACCAATATCCATGTGTTAAAATAAATAAATGTCTGTAAAGAAAAAAACACTCATCCTAATAGATATAGATGGTTATTGAACCCTTAAAAGGATCTAAATATGTTTTAGGATTTCCCGCATCATCCCTAGTTAGGGTTAATATTTTCATCACGAAATAAAATCAACTATAATGTTAAAGTGCCCTGTAGCTGTATGAATAAGTGGATTTCTCTAGAAAATATAGGGGACGCTATCTCATTGATCCGTCTATAAAATGTAATGCCACCAAGAAATAGCACTAAAGAAACTGTGGTTTGAATTTATTTTTTACACTCGCTCCTGTATTAATGGAAATTTTTTTGACAATCCCCTTGAAATCGTTAAACCTATCACCCAATAATGTAATCGGTTACTAGCTTAGATGGGTAGTGGCTAGCTGTGGGATTGGAGACGCACGTTTCGTCGTACTCGGGACTCACCAACTGGTTGCACCTGCATCCCAGAGTTGTTGTTTACTTTCAAAGTGTACATAATGCTTGTGACTTCAGACAATATCAAGACAATCTGTACATAACGCACATATACTAATAAGAGACTGATCAAGTGCAGTCCCTAACGTCAATGGGAATATTCAAACAACTAAAGCAAAAATGTAACTGGTTATTATTGTTTTAAGATGTGTGTAAAAGCCAACAATTTGTACAGTGATTCCTATGACAATTTCCTACTATCACTTTAAGTGTTTCGAGCAATGTAAAATGGTATTTCTTCTGCTCATTATACATGATGTTTGGATTTCGTGCAAAAATCTATAAGTTAGGTTTTCGATTCCAACTGAATCGTCTCTATATAATACCTACGTATATAATTACATGATATCTGAGCATTGTGAACCATTTGTTTATCGAAACAATTACTTAACCATATTTCTGGTCATTTTTGTTACCTTAATCATGATGGATATTGTAAGTGGCTTTCGAATTCTTTATTGTGTAGGCGATACTGTATTCACTTAACTGATTTTCTATACGATATATCAAGTTTAATAAACTTGAATATTTTACATCAAGAGTTTTGATTGTGTTTTTAGTTCACAAATTGTGTCTCTATTTAATCCAAAGTAGAATCGCTATCCTTATCAGTTACCTGAATGATACCACTTACTGATCAATATGCTCTTCCAAGTTTTCATTTTAGATATCAAAAATACGTTGCGAACTTCTGATATTTTACTCGATTTATAACATCATCTAGTACCGTTCATTCTGTACAATTACAATCTGTTAAAAACTTTTTACATTCTTATATGCTACTTGTACATAACTATTAGGGTATGCTAAAACCGGAAGTTGGCATTACATCACTCGTTCGGGATGCATCAGAACCTGTACGGAATGCAGTTTATACATCATCTCAACAATCAAATGTTAGATTTCATCCAAGTTGTCCAATGCCATATATACTTGGTCCTGGTTATAGCGTCGGACAAGCATGGCAATGTGATACAATCAAGGCAGGTGAAAATCATCAAAAGATCTATTCATCTTCACCTAACGCCTATGATGCCAATGTTACATGGTATCGCTTTGTATCGTCGTAATCGTGCTCCCTGTGATTTCATGTGTTCATTTTAATGGATATCAGTTTATTATTGGGTTTTTTTTTCATTAAAAAAATACGATATATATTCCCTCTATGCACTCATTGATTTCCTCTTTTCTCCTTATCATCTAAAAAAATCAAACTTATAGCGATCATTATTGTTTTGTTTTTTTTTGTTTTGTTTTTTTTGTCACTAACTATTTGTGAGTGGGAGCAATAGTTTCCTATGCATTAAACATGATGTTAGTTCATTCTTTTCTTTACTACACAAACATACTTATACTTTTACTCATTTATTTTTGTCTTTTTTTTCTCTCCAAATTTGTGTGTTCAATTGAATGCATGCTAAATTTTAAAACAACAACAACAACAACAAAAATTAGTTTAATATTTAACATTCAGCTTTTACACCACTGTTTCCATTTCCATTAGACGTGTTGTATTTTGCATTCAAAAGAGATTGAATTCAATCTCTTTAAATTAGTGTATTTGTTCAAATTGTGTTGTCAATTTTTAATAGAATCAATTATATTTCATAACTTAACATTATTTTTCTGTATTTCCTCCCAGGATCTTTCATTTAAAGAAAGACATTGGCATGAGAAATGCTTCAAATGTTCTGCTTGTACTACTTCATTAGCTGATAGACCATTTGCTACGAAAGAAGAACAATTATATTGTTCTGATTGTTATGATGAACGGTTTGCTGCACGATGTGATGGTTGTCAAGGTGTATTCAAAGCTGGAATGCGTAAATATGAATATCGTGGACAACAGTGGCATGAAGAATGCTTTTTATGCGTAGAATGTAAACAACCAATTGGTGCAAAAAGTTTTATTCCACGAGAAAATCAAGTTGTATGTGTACCATGTTATGAAGCCAAATATGCTCAACGTTGTACTAAATGTTCAGAAGTAGGTTTACATTCATTACTTTCCTACTCTACTCTTTATTGTAATGATCATTAGTTTGGAAAAAACTAGTGGTTTATGTTTTTATCTTGTTATTTTAGAAAATCTCAGAATTTGTTATTCGTTAAATATCATTAACAACTACACGGAAAATAGGATAAAAACTGTGTGATTTTCCAGCTCAAGATTCATTGAATATTAGAAGACACTGACACATCATGATTAAGTTATACGACTTTCAACTAATAGGTTGTAGGTTCAAACCTCATAAATCTGTACTTGGTAAATGGATTCCTTTTATGGAAAAAAGCAAAGTTTCGTTCATTCTCTATCTTGCTCAACATCGTCTGGTTAGTATCATTTTTAATTTCCAATCCTTCGATCACATTGCTCCTTTCAAAATGTATTTCTTGTGTTTAGATTTTAATTGTTGTTTATATAGTTTCTCGTTCTACGTTTTTTATCTTAGCTATATCTAATCTAAAACGAGGGACAGAAGCCGATCTTGATAGATCAACTTCGGAGATCGAATTTTAACAGTTTGATTGACTGGGATAGTAGCTAGAATCTGGGAAGTGGTTGTGATTCCATCTGACCGGTCTCGATCACTGATTGTTTAAGTTATAAGAGGAGACAAAAATAGTAAATAAATTGACTAGTACAGTATCTAGAACATTAGCTTCAATAATTATTCAATGTTTAACTGGAGCTTTTGAAGAACAATCTGGTTTCAGGCCTGAATGTAAATATATATTGACCCTTTATTAGGTTCTAAAACTTAATCATACTTAACATCGTTTACTTTTGTTGATTTTCTCCGATTATATTAATTAAAACAATATTAATTTCAATGATAAATAACATATGTCAGTTATTTAATACCAAAGATTTCAGTTTCTATGTATGATTTTCACCTGACTTGTTGTAGTAGTTGAGTTCATTCAACTCTCTAAATAAAAAATTTTGCCTATTTATATTCTAATCTAAAACAAATAACTTTTCTTTATCAAAAAGTATCTATTGGACAGGATATATATTATTAGTGGCTTTATTCAATATTATATTTTTAGTACAATATAGAATTGTCAGCACAAAGTATTTCAAAAAGTTTTCCTTTCTTATTTCTTGATCAGTTCCTTACGATAAATATTGAGTGGACGCCAGTTAGATGTTAGCGCTTCAAGAATCGACATCTGATAAATGTATATCTTTTTTGATGCATATTACCAGTAACCATGATCTCTCTGATTGAGCTCTTTTGTAACATGTACAGCGAAATGTCGTAAACTTTTCACAAATTCACCTGAATAGATTATGAGACTAATAGGCATAATGATGTATTAAAACAAACAAGAAAACAGATAACTTGTTGAAATATCTAGATGACAGGAACAGGTAGCCCAGATATTCAAGCAAACCACCAGACTTGAAAATTTCATTTGTGTTTTCTTTTTCTGAAAAAAAAGTGACATTTTTAAAAAATGTCTACATGTTACTACATATATATATTATCAGGTTATACGTCGTGGTGGAGTTACATACAAAGGAAATCCATGGCATAAAGAATGTTTCACTTGTACTAGTTGTTCTAAACAATTAGCAGGATTAAAATTCACTTCTAAAGATGAACAACCTTATTGTGCTGATTGTTATGGTGAATTATTTGCTAAAAAATGTACAAAATGTACCAAACCAATTACTGGTAAAGTTGTTTTTTTTGTTTGTTTGTTATTCTTTTCTATAAAAGAAAAGTATTTTTATCCTATTTTTTATTATTTTATTTTACCTTCTTTATATTCGTTAATTTTTTTGATTGAGATCATGAACTGATTGATGTTAGACCACCATTGAAAACCTGGAAGCACTGGACGGCCGTTTCGTCCTATTGTGGGACTCCTCAGCAGCGCGCATCCACGATCCCGCTCGTGGGATCTCCACAACTCTATACTGATATTCGTTAATTGCTAAGATTTGTCAATCCATTTAAAAAAATATTTTCATGAAGTGTATTGATTAGAAAAATTGTAAGATGATTAGTTCACCATGATTTATTTATTTAAAGACATAAACATGGATATAAGGAAGCATCAAATAGATATGCGCCACATAACTCATTCGATTTGTGTGAGAGCTGTAATACTGCCTGGGTGCTTAAACCAAAGCAGATGGTTTTCTTAGAGGGACACACGCCGAGCCTTCGACCTAGACGTCCAATCCACAAGGCAGTAAAGCAACGTAGGGATACTGGAGCCCATGTACACCATTGGTTTAGAATGAGAGTTTTCCCGCTCCACTAGGTGTGTCGATCGTCCGTATCCACCAACCCGATTGAATCACCGGACATTTACTTTTCATTCTCTCAATTTTGTAAACAACACTCCCGTTACGCGAAGGCAGTGAGTATGACTTGTGTGGCAGTGGTCGTATGCACTTGGTCATGTGAGAGCACTATGAGAGGAAGTGTTGACTCTCCCCACTCTTGGTCGTACCGTGCCAGAGCGATTGAAAGCAGTTCACCATAAAGATGACTTGAAAATAAATCTGTTAGTTAATTAGTTAATAATAATTTTTTTGGTTATATATAACTCAGCTATTGTAAATATAGAATTTATTTTCTAGCATCATGTCTACTCTCCTAAAAAAAAAAGAAAAAGAAATTGATCTCTACTATCTATCGATACAGATTAGATTATGTCTTGATAGTATTAACAATTAAACTAATCGACAACTATTTCAACTTCTTGATTGGTCACTAGTGATGGATTAACTAAATTCGATACGGTAGTATTGAAACACAGATTTTAGTGTTTTTTTTGGTAGGTGAAGGGAAGGAGTGGTTGTTAAAACTTGACAGGAGAATATGGATATTAGGTATTTATTTGTTTCTATACTTATGTTGTTTGATGTGTCTGTCTTCAAGTAGCCAGAAAAAGAGTATCTTTCGGCGTTATGGCTCAGAATCGTTCACAAGGGGGTAAATGCACTCACTTTTTGTCATTAATTGAAATCAAGAGATTAAGTGTTCCCGCTCAAGACAAGTCCATGCGTTCGATTCCTGGTCAGGGGATCGCAGGTATACACTGCTGTAGAGTCTCATAGTAGGATGAAATGTCTGTCCAGTGCTTCCAGATTTTCAATGGTCTAACTTAGATCGGTTTGTGATTTCAATCTTCACAACTTTATACTGACAAATCAGATTCATTGAACAATTTTACTTGTTTATGTCATATGATAGATTATGTTCATTTATAAATAAATAAATAATATATTTGTAATATCCCAATGAGCAAAAAAGTTATTAGATTTTTTGACGTTTCGTGACTTAGTGTAAGCCACTTCTTCATCTATGATTCTTAAACTTGTTAGAATGATTTTCAACACTGGTAAGGCAGTATCGTTGTTATGCTGGATGTCTGAAGGAAACACCTTACCGCCGTCACATCTCTGTACAGTCAGCAGTATGACTTCGCCTTCGGACCTTAGGTTTGTTGTTTTCAGTCTTACCGTTCTTCAACTGACCTGTCTGACATGGTAGGACCTAGAGAAACGATTGTTCCAGCCAGTATAGCTTGGTTGCTTCATCACGATAGACAAGCTCGACCAGCACATCAAGGTAGCAACAACGGTCGGGTTTAAAAAAATGAGAGAATATCTGTTGCTAAGGATGAGAATTCAGTAGGTGTTCAACTTTCTGAACCGAACCATTTAACTCAGAGAATATAACACTTCCAAGAATATCTAGCATTGACTTCCCTTTTATTTGACCTGAATACATAGTTACATTTCTTTAAATTAATGTGTTTTTTTGTCGATCAAACCAACATACCATCTTTTTGTAGTGTAATGTAATGTTATTCAAAACATATTTCTTACCGATTTTTTCTTTAAAAAAAAATAGGATTTGGCGGTTGTAAATTTATTTCATTTGAAGATCGTCATTGGCATTCAGAATGTTTTCTATGTGGAAAATGTAATTGTAATTTGGTCGGTAGAGGTTTTCTAACCAGTGATGATATGATTATGTGTTCTGAATGTGGTCGTTAACTTCAACAAGCACTTCAATAAATAATAACAATGATAAAAAAAGAGAAAAAAAACAAGCAGCAGTTATATATCTAGTCAAAAGTGCGTGATTCATTCATTCATTTGTTCTTTCTTTCTTTCTTTCTTTCGTTATTCAGCTTTATGATATCAATTTGTTTTGTTTTGTTCCATTTGTTTGTTGGTTAATAGTCAAATCTTCTTAGTTAGTTCATTCTAATGTTCACAATGCATTTATTATATATATATATATATATATAGAGAGAGAGAGAGAGAGATAGACATAAGATTTTTTCTTGAACCATGACTCCAAATGATCAGTTAACATATAAAATCTAGAATGATATACAGAAATATTCAATGTTGCTCATAAAGAAATTATTCATTGTGAAATACTTTATTCTAGTCTTTAATCGTCCCAACCCTTCAAATATATTGATTTATTTTTTTGTACTGTTTTTTTTATGATGATGATGATGTCCAAATTGTCTTCCTTGTTCACATACATCCAAATGAATGCACATATATATATATATATATATATATATATATATATATATACATCATTAGCGTATAAATAATAATCTTTCAGATTATTAGTAATTTACAGTCCTATAGTTTTCTTTTATATATAGTTTATGATTTGTGTGTGTGTGTGCATGGCATAAAAGTTTAGATTTTCTCTTTAGAACTGCTTCGTAACTTATTTACTCGTAGTATATTCCTACTGTTATACATCAAGAGATTTGTGGGGGGGGGGAAGAAGCTTTCTTGAAAATGTATGGAATGTTGAGCTTCCAAATTGTCCTTCCCCCCTCTCTCTCTTTTTAGTTCCTCTTTTCCACATGACGTATATTATTTATAAAGGATTCACTTATTATAATTGAAACATACTTCTTCTAATGTGTATGAGATTTGACAACAAGTGTTAACGTCATTATACATCATTAAACTATTCATTGCCTATTCTAGAGTTATACTATACGTCTAATTTTTAACAATACATTCATTACCTTGATTATTGTAAACATAACAACTATTCTAGGTATTTTATGAATATTATTCATTTCAACCAATTTAACATGTGTGCTCTCATTTTCTATGTCACGCACACATACACACACACACACACGGAAATAATCTTTTTTTTCTCATTACCAAACTCATTTTCATGTTGTGTTTTTCTTTTCTTTTTTTTCATTTGCATGTAAAATTTGTTTTTATTAGATAATACAGCGATTACATATTACGTATTTACACTATGGAGTATTGGAATTCATGCATAGAACATATGAATTGTATGCGTGTGCGTGTGTGTGTGTGGTTGCGTTCCAATCTATTCATCATTAATTTATCTTTTGACTACCTTGATTATTTGTCTTGTTTTCTTTTTGTTGTTTTGGTGTAATACCGTTAGTCTGTATTTAGTTGTAATGTGTAAGTGTGAAGTAGAAGAGATGGATCAATTGGAAGATGAAGAGAATAAATATGTTTGACGAATGTTTTTTGTCCTATTGTGTATTGATTACTAAAAGAAAAATTATCGTATATTTAAAGCTTAAGCGTTAGTCTTGAGATATGAAGGTTCTAGGTTCATGGTTGCGTATTACTGAGGAGTTTGTCCGACAAATACACGAAGTTATAGAAATTAATTTTAAGTAATTTATGGTACATTAATCACTCCTTTCACAAATACTACCAGTTTGTAACAATACATTTGCTCCACCTCCATTTTAATAACTCAAAAAATCCTTCAGAGTTAGACATTTCAGATGTCTCATAATCACATCGTTCTAACAACAACCGCGTGTGACTAGTTTTCATTTTGGAAACAAACAGTTTGGTCAGTAGAAGGGATTGTTTAGAGTGGTAATCAGATTACGAAACAAACTGATGCGTGATCATAGTAGAATATACATGCGCATTATCTTGATACAATAGTCGTTATGCAAATTTTGGTATTCACCATTTTTCAAACTAATAATTTGTTGGCAATGATACTAATTGAATTTCGTGTATTTAATAAATAAATTATGGTGCTTACGTTCACCCAAGTTAAATAAATTAAACTATCTCACTGAAGTGGATTCATTTTTAATGAAACAAAAAGTCACATAACAATTGGTGATCAGTGATATAAAATGTTGGACCTGGTACATATGTATCTCGCTTCAGAAGATCCTCAATTGTTAATAATTAAATACAAGTTGTATGACTTCCGTCGGTGAAATGAAGGATCTGATCCCATGTTAAGGTATTTTTTTGAGATTAAAGACAATTACAGTAAAGTTCGTTTTCCCCTCACCTGATTTCATATTGAATGAGATATTCAGTGAGTGAAACTTGATCTTAATAGCTATTTGACCAGTATAAATATATTTTCACGAGTCGTTAACTAACGTTTGCCACTTTCATTTAAAAGATATCAAATATCTGATTGCCTATCGTTGTATAAATTTAGTCTTAATATTAAGTGTATACATAGATATATTTACTTAGAATGATTTGAGAGGGTAGATTTTATTTCTCCCCCAAATGCCCTGGTACGGCCGAGAGTGGGGAGAGTCCTCTCTCCTTCTCGAAATGCTCTCACATGGCCACGCGTATATAGCCTCTGCCAGGGAAGTCCTACTCACTGCCTTCTCGCACCACGGGTGTTGTTTACGAAAATGAGAGGACGAAAAGCGAATGTCCGGCACTTTAACCGGATCCCAAATCATTGGTGCACATGGGCTAGCTCCAGTATCCTGAAGGAACAAATGGCGTGTGAACCAATGGTTGGTCACCGGCTACCATGGGACTGCATCTCCTCACGATGCTCCACTGCCTTGTGGGTCAGACGTTCAGGTCGAAGGCTTGGGGTGTGGCCTCCTAAGAAAACCACCTACTTCGGTTTGGGCACCCGGGCAGTATCACAGCCCTCACACAAATCAATTGAGATCTGTGTGGCGCATATGTACTTGTTGCTTCCCTGTACCTATACTTATGTGTTAAAATAAATAAATAAAGATTTTATTTCATTGTTAAATGTCAGCTAAGATTCCTTCTAATTCGATTATAATCTGGTTATTGATTATTCTATCCAGGACGATAAGAATAAAAGGTTCGTATTTAAACCAACCGTCTCAGGGAACATAAGTCTTAATCTGTGATAAACTTTGATGATTTCCGTAGTATATGTCCTGTCCACTTCCGACGTCTTTTCCTAATTCCCTCTTCAGATGGAAGCTGGTTTGTTCTCTTCCCCAGTAGTCTGTTGCTGATGCTATCTGGTCAACGGATATTGAGTATCTTGAGTAGTCAACTGTTTATAAATGCTTGCACTTTTTGATGGTGGTTGTGGTATTTCTCCGAGTTTTAGCTCCATACAGTAAAACTCCTGATGTTCGTATCGAATATTCTGACTTTGATATTGGTTGACAGTTGTTTTGAGTTTTGTATGTTCATCAACTGTAGGAATACCTCCTTGATTTGCCAATCCGTACCTTAACATCTGCATTAGATCCACTTTGTTCATTGATGATGCTGCCAAAGTACGTGAAAGATCCCATCTCTTCCAGAGTTTCTCCATCAAGTGTGTTTGGCTTGGTGTTCTCTGTGTTGTATTTGGGGATATTGGTTTGTCCCCTGTGTATGTTGAGGCTTACTGATGCAGAGGCTTTTGTCACACTAGTTGTCTTCAGTTACATATGGTAGGTATGGAATAGTAGAGCTAGGTCATCTACGAAGTCCAGATCGTCTAGTTGAACACAAACTGTCCATTGTATTTCGTGCTTCCCCTCAGATGTGAATGTCTTCATAGCCCAGTCGACCACCAGAAGAAGGGAGAGTAAGCAACATTCTTTCACTACGGTCCTCACTTGGGAAGCACCTGTCAGCTATTCCCAACCCACAACTTTGCAGTATAGTCCGTCGTATGAATTCCAAAGGATGTTGAGGATCTCAAGTACAACATAGTATCATGGAACGTTCCATAAGGTTCTCCTAAACACACTGTCAAATACTTTCTCTTAGTCAAGGGAGTTGATGTATAGTGACGAATTGGATTCAGTTGATTGTTTAACGATGATCCATAGTGTCACGACTTGGTCTATGCAGCCTGTTGATCTCGAAGTTAAGTGTCTACTGAATATTTAATCCGGTTCAGTAACACTGTTAAAAACCTTTCCTTGTACTGAAAGTAGTGTGATATCTCTTCAGTTCTCACATTTGTTCAGATCTGCTTTGTTTGTGTTGGGGTATTCAGAAAATACCCCAGAAATTATCTAGTGCTATTCCTGAATGAGAAATAGTGTCATTGCTCCATTGGTCAACATTCTTCCAACGTGTCATTTCCTGAAGGTTAAATCTTGTACAAATGTTACTTTCTATTTTATGGTACGATGTAGTCTGTTTGATTGCTATATAAACAGAGTATGTTTGAAATATAATGATTCATATCTCCGAGGCTGAGACTTGTGTTCTGGACTCAATTGGCTGGGCTAGACAGGGAAGCAGGACCAATCAGAGCTCTAGGCTGCTCGCTCGTGTTTTATGCGTCACTGTTTCGATCGATAATAGGCTGCTCTCTAATAGGCGGATCACACGTTATAACAATTGGCGACGGGTTTAGAAAAAATTCCTGAACCCTCAATCTTCAACTTTAACCTGTAATTGGACGAGATTCAGTCTAATTATTTCGAGCAATCAGCATTCAGTTTTGTCATCGGCGTCCTTGAAAGACATTGGTTGTTAATTAATCATACAGCATTTCTGATCACCGTGCTGATTCAGGAAATGGCTATCTCTCCCGGTCAATTACAATTGCTATTTGAGCGACAAACGCAGCAGTTCAAAAATAGCCAGCTGAATGTTTTAGACAATTTACGTACACGGCTGCTAAATCATCCATGTTTTGGAGATGTAACAGAAGTTGATAAATTAATTTCTAATTTGAATACGGATCTGGAAATTGACTGCAGTACATATGAATGTGTTGATAAAAGCCTCTATGAATCCTTGAT